GTCCGGAGGACTTAATAACTGAGAGCCGAGCGGGGCGAATTCCTTCTATTTCCGCGGAATAGAGCTGACTTTTGGACGGCGTTATTACGGTGCATTGTACATGTGCGCGGGCAGAACGAGAATACATGGCGGACACCCTCGTATCGTATAATGAGCAGCACCGAGCAGTGCGTCTTTCTCTCTCTCTCTCCGAGGCCCGTCCGCCTTCGCCAACGTAAGCGAACCGTGAAAAGCGAAAAAGAGACAGAGCGAGATAGGGAGAGAAAAGGGGAGAAGCGCGGCGAGACTGGTTGGGTCCTTTATAAAGCGCGCTCAGCAATTACTATTGCGACAAGCGTAATGCGCGCTCCGGTCCACCTCCATGCCGTTTAAATCACTGGGCGATGCTCAAAAGGCAAACGTACGAGGTAAAAGAGAATCGGGGAGAGAGGAAGAGAGACAGTAAACCTTTTAACAAGGGCAAAGAAAAGCGGAGGAGCGCGAACGCGATCGAACGCGACGCGATTTATTGCACCACAGCGAGGCAAACGCGTCGGTCGTTACGAGCAATATAGGCATAATGGAGTTCTTTACGTGAGACGTCCTTTCTTCGTTTCAATTATCGGCCAAATGTCAATCCGGAGATAATCATCACCGCCACGAATCACCTTGTTGCGTCATTATCGACGTGCGTTTAACGTAATTTGCTGCTAATAGACTTACTCCTGAATTGTTGACATAAAATTGATAGTTATTATAGTCGTATAACATCGGAAGATCATCTATAATTATAGTATACCGATCATTAATAATAAATATGGATTATCGTAATCGAATTGTGTGTATTGTTTATTAATAATCCTCTTTAACATCTTAAGAATAGTCAAACTAATCTAATAATTATTCACTTCATTACACTAGATATGAATAAAGAATACAAATGGCAAAGGTAAAGAAGGTAGACAGAATTGCGTTAGCGGAAGCGATGCCCAGCGAAACAAAGTAAACGTCGAAGTTTCTTCGTTAAAGTCAGGCAAATTGTCGTCGAGGCAGAGAACAACCAGATAACTCGCAAAAAGACACGAATAAAACAAACGGAGTTGTAAGATACGGTGAAGATACCAACGGTTGATTTAAACTGATTTTATACGGGTGACGATTCAACAGTTTACTCTGTGACATCCACGCCACTGTTTGATCGTAACATTTGCCGAAACTTCACCGACTATCTTGTGGGGTTGTTAGGGGAATCGAGAACAGCCGAGTTTCTCACCGAGCTGCTCGCTAGAAAGAGTAGGAAGGGATGACCGCGACCGGACAATGCTCGAAATTGCCGGTCGTGTGTAACCGAGTAAACATGTCAATTTCATGAGCTGCAATAATAAATTATTAGACATAAGTCCTTCTTTTGCGTAACAGACGTCATTCACGCTTTGAGAGGTTTTAAGTAGTTTATCACAAGATATATGTTATTTTTGAAAAGTCGAAAAGCTTTCAGCTTTGAAGACATTATTTAACAGTCCAAAAAGCGTATTCAACCACTTGTCACAAATAAACAAAGTTATTTCTAGGTTTATAAAGAGTTTCAAATATCGGTAGTAGCTTCTATTATAAGCTAGAGCAATCTTACTATGATTACGTTTGATTTCATAGCGCGTTTCCGTTATCCCGCGGCATAAGCGAGACGGACGACTGTACATCGCAACCACGATGACGACGACGACGGATACTACACTTTTAAAAGCGAGTGCGTGCCAATTAGACAGACAGCTCGTAAACGCGCACTATACGTGTCATTCACTGACTTTACCTGCCGTCCTCGTTAAGCTCGCAGACAGGCTAATGATTCAACAGGTGTTGCGCGTCGAGACGAGCGAGTTCGGTGGCGGCATGACGCTTTTTCTTTCCTCTTTTTTTTTTGTTCCCGACATTGAAAGGACCGGGGAACGTCGCCGATACGAAAACGGTCGGCGGTCTGAAAAGCTTTTGAATAGCCGAAGACTCAGTCACGAACGCGGGCAGACATACTCTTTAATCTACCAAACGCGATTGTTTCTATTATAAGCTAAGAATTGCTCGGAAACTTAAAATTTATCGTTGTTGATTTGTTATCGATTACGAGAGTTAACAACTGTAAAAAATAATCTAGTATAGTACCGAATAGCGATAATATACCTGAAAACTTGCAGGTACCACTTAAGAGAAATTGCAAAATGTCAACATGAATGTAACGAATAACTTTTCCTTTCTTCTCTTTTTTTCCGAAAATAAATAAAACTATTTCTCGGATTATGTAGGACAGCATCTTTTCCCGAAACTTTTATTTCTGAAACTTTACAATGCTTTCATGTCAACTTGTCACTCTTCCATTCACTCGTTTCCTCGTTTATTGCCTCTCGCTTTTGCTTCTGTCTCGTCGTAAAAGAGACAGTGACCGAAAAAGAAAGAAAACGTAGCCGCGAGATAAACATGAATCCGAGTACTTTCGCGGCACATAATGCGTCCTTTTTAATGCTCATGTACGCGCGAGGATGCGAAAGATAATTTGAATTCAATGTACTGGGAGCTCGCTCATCTCTGTTTCTGCATTCCTTCGTCGTAAGCCAGCCCGATGCAACCGTTGCGGATGCAGTATAATCGGCACGATGCACCGTCCGGTTCTCGCGTGTAACTGAGATATATGGACTTTATTATTTATATTATTCGAATATATCCCGTCTCGCATGCCGCGCACCACATCGGGGCGTGCATGCAGTCAGTCTACCTCCCGTTCATCATCCCTCTCAATATCTGAAATTCACTCGGACGATTGTCGACCGCGCGCCATAAATACAACGCGAGATGTAAAACACACGAATTTAATGAGTTTTATTTAATTTTGGTCAACGCGAGTACGCTTTTATTATTAATCGGACTGCGGTTGCAATACGATTAATCAGTTCACCTGTCAATTACGTGTAATAACGCGATGCACGAGAACGACGAACGGAATTGCGACGTTAATAAGCGACGCTAATAGGCATTAATCTGCTGTAACAGATAAAAAGAACGATTCTCGCCAACGATGGATTAACGCTTCGATTTTTAATTCCGATGCAATGCGTTTGAAAGTGCAAGTTTAATCGGATTTTCGAGCTTCGTCGAAATCATTTATTTCATTCCTTTATATTGTTGAGTGACTGCCACAAAAAATTCGCCTATATTATACACATATTATACATGCGCATAATTTTTCGGTAAGAAATTTCGTTTAGAAATTTCGAACAAGTTCACACATAAACCATGTGAAAAAAACTGCTGTATGTAGAGCACCTTTTGTTGAATTTTCTCTCCTCAAAAACTACTTGCATACATATCGCACCAGCAAGTGTGGACGTGTGCACATTTGTAACCGCACTGTTTGCTCTCATGTGACATTCAAAGTTCTCAACGCGGATTAGACATACTTTGCGCGCATCGCGATTTGGACAAAGACTTAACTCACAAATACATACAGAGTGACAATCGGAAAATAGCTAAACAGCTATTATTTTGTAGTAAATGAACAGAATAAAATGACTTAAACATTGCTTAGCAAAAGAAACCAGTCATTTTAATTAAAAATAGATTAAAATGTCGAAAATTTAGTCGCATAGCTGGTTGCATTTCACAATTTTTTTCAATAGCGGTTATTATCAAATTGTCACCATTCCGAGAATATATGAGCCACACAATCAATCGAATTATTGGATCTTTTTTATATTCATTTTTACAAGCTCATAAATGTATATTTTTTGTACTGTGTGCTAATAAAAATAACTTTTTTTACAATACAGTTTAATTCATTTCATTTTATCCATTCATTATAAAATAACAGCTATTTAGTTTCAGCAATTTTTCGATTGTCACTCTGTATATATTCATGTGTAGTATAAATCATACAATATCACGTAATAATATTAGCATAGCGATACGATACTCTGAGTATAAGTTATTTTTTTAGTAATATTTGAAAATGACATTACGTCCTGTTATTAATCATCTATGAATTTTGACATTCACAATATCTCATCCACCAAATATTTCAACGATAAATTCTTTGAAGTTTAAAATTAAATACATATGGTCGCACAGTCTAACTTTCATAAGTTTTAAGTTGAAAAAAATGGTATATTGCATATCACAATGACGCAGCACAATTACTCGGTTTCTTTCTTATACTGAGATTTAACTTGTGTTGCAGACGTTTAAGTTTTCTCTGACAATAATAACTTCGTCCATTTATTTTGTAACAAAGCATGATGCAAAAATTTACGAATTACGATGCTCGGCTATTCTCAAACTTTTACCATTATTTTACGATTCAATGCTAAACCGAATCGATTTGCGTATCGCACATACTAATCGCACGAGAGCGAGAATTATCAATGGAGCTTATACAAAAGTATGTTAAACGATTGTATGTTGCGCAAAATGCAAATCATGTCGCTCGCACAGTCGGGGAGCCGTTTCGCATTCAATCGGTAACAAGGTCATTGGCTCTCCGCGAGACAAGCCTAATTGCGTCAAGCTGCACACCATTTTTTAGCACCACTCGAGCTCGAACGCTTAACACCGCACGAGCGGTGAGTATCGCGTCGTAAAACCACAGCGAAACGAATCAACGATGACCGCATTTATCGCCATTAAACGGGGATTAATCGCAGCGTGTCGGTACAACGCGGACAGAGTTATGCAAATAAGTCGCTTCGTGTTTCAACCTATAGCCAGGACTAATTCGTCGAGTTAAACGCGCAAAACTCTCTATTCGCAGACGACGGTCGCGGCGTGTTGTTTTAAATAAAAAAAAAAACGTTAAAAACGCATTCACTATTATTATTTAACATAAAAAGAAAAATAATTATTATAAAATCGTGTATAACGATTACCATATGCAACTACATATGACTTTTCAATATGTATACTCGTAGTACATAACCGATAATCGATACGCCATTTCCTATTGTTGTTCGGCATTTAACTGATACCGTATGTTTACTCACGTATAAATTCCCATTCGTCGATTCCTTATCCCCAAGCTCCGCTTCCCGGGCGACGTGAAAGATCGTCTCCGTAATTGCCGGAGGGAAGCCCGCTCCGTTTCCGCGTTTCCTTTCACTCACGGGGCTCCTCCGAGGGGGCAGAGAGCTCGCCAGGCTGGAAATAAAGGACACGTATACTTTTAGACGAGGAGTTCTCGTTCCGAGCACGGATGGATAATCCGCGTGCTAAGGGTGGTTGTTATGATACTTTGCCGAACGAAAATGTCATGCGATACGAGAAAAATTGTCAGATTCTATTTCAGGACACTAATCAATCGATCAAGACTTTCGTTCGCGTGTCCTTCGCAACGCACGAAAGACGTAAAACAGATATAAATACAAAAGAAAAGAAATAAGAAGATTCACAAAAAAAGTTGTTTCATGCTGAAGATATATATCGTAACATTGTGTTGTAATTCTACTTCGTTGTAATACTTTAATATCTAACAATTTTATAAATTCGCTTTATAATTTCAGTTTGTTATGATTACTTCTGATATGATTATATTTAATTGCTCAACAACATGTGAATTTCAAAACTGTTTTGCCACTATAATTTCACCATTTTATACTTTTTCGAGTTTTACATGGTTAGTTTTATAATTAAGTTTCATAATTTTCGCAACGTCACTAATGTAAGTTGACAGTAAAGTCAACACGACCTGCGACGCATTCTTTATCGAAGAAGGCAGCGAGGAATGCTCGCCAGGAATGCGATCGTTGATCACACTCGACGAAGCAGTTCATCGATTTATTACGAAGTTACGTCGTGAACGACCACAGGACAAAAAAGAGAAATCAATTGTGTTTGATGCTGCAGGACAAACTAGTGCGGAGTCGCCTTCGCGTGGAGAAGGAAAGTACGAAGCAATAAGGGGCCAATATAAGTGAAAACCCCGGTGTTAATATGTGGCGTATAGCTGAGCAAGAGGAATGCTTAATGGCCGGCCAACACGCGATCGCTCCAGGTCTTTTTCCTTTATTTTCTCCTCTTTCTCCCAATCTTCTCTCAACGTCTGTGCTTCACGCTTCTCTTCCTCCTCCTCCCGTTTTCACCCAGTTACTGTGATCCACCGCGTTCGAAATTCATGAGCACAGGAGATGAACTGCGAGAATAGCGGAATAAAAGTGCTCGGAACCTGTTCGGAATATATAAAACAGCACGCGAGACGCTTCTTATGTGCACCGGTATACTAATATTCATACGCGTGCATATTTACAATTCTTAATTAAAATCGGGTATTAGGTATATATGATTACTACAATATATACAAGTACTTCGAATAAATCTTTTCCACTTATCAAAATATATGCGTTTACTAGATAAATATTAAATATCTATCTTAATTATATCAAATATCTATTCTTATTCATGAATTTAATCGCCAGAACTCTTTCTGAAATGTATTAGAAACTTTCGAAAACTGTTTTGAAGATATAAAAGTCAGAGAGAACTATATAACAATAACAATAATTCTGAAAAACGGGCCGGCAATTTCGAGGTGGACTCGTCGCCGGAAGAGGATTAATTAAAGTACACGATCATTCATTTGGCGTATTGTATTTTTGCGCAATACACTTTACGCGTTTCTCGAATAACGTTTCACCGCCCGGTGCGAATTCCACGCGCAAGTCTCGATTCGCAGTTTTAGAGGAAAAGTTTGCGGATTGCTCTCCTCGCGCCTCTGGCAGTAGCTCGTTTATTGCGGACTCGATTCCCGCGATCGACCGTGCGGCCGGCCGGCCGGCCGGCGGGGACGGCCACGCCTCGATTTCATTCACGGCAGCAAACTCGCGTTCAATTATTCATGCGGAATCTACGCGCCGCGCCTGCCTTCTCTCTTCCCTCGATTGGATTTAAGTCGCGAAAAAGCGGGAAACGATTGTACGCCGCGCCATGGCGTACAATCGCACGGAAATGAATATCTCGTCAAGTAACATTGGATCGGTCTTTCGCGCTGTATAGAAAGCTAAACTAATATGTATACAGATTTGACGTATGTATGTACATAAACAACAAGTCTAAACGAATATTATGCATTAGTATATCGCTACCGAATTTCTGATATAGATCTCTAATAAGCATATCAAATAAAAATGTATACAAAATCCATAGAAGAGAAGGGTTAAAAAATAATGCTTCGAGCATCACTCGGCATCAAATTCGATCGTGATAGACCGGATGCCCCGAGAATAATCGCGATGGATATATCTCTCTATCTCTCTTTCTCTCTCCTCACCTCCCCCTCTCTCACTCACTCTCTCTCTCTCTCTCTCTTTCTCTCCAAGTCCGCTCGACGGAAAGGAAAGCCGAGCACGCCGCGCTGCACCGACATCGTTTCACCGCCGCGAAACTGGGACGGGGTTTTACGGGCGGTTATTTACGATCGAGGTTATGAGAAAGGCGGGGGCCGTACTGCCGCCTCCTCGACCCGCGCTCCTCCGCGAAATCTGCGAAAGGGTTGCACCGCCCGCCGAATGCAAATTACGCGAATTACGTTACCTGAGATTCCGGTCGGATAACAATCAACGCGCGCTCGCGTCGAACCTGCGCGCTTTTATCGGAACACGAACGAAGGGAACGCACGAGCTGAATCACAAGCTTCAAAGTGACTGAAATGATAATTTATAACGATTAGCTAAATTTACCGAACGAAATGTCGCGTATCTGTATTTCGTGAAAAAGAATTGCGATCTGTCCACCGCGAAGAACTGGACAGCAACCGTTGATTTGTGGTCACGCGACGAACGTCAACTGCGTATACGATACGCCCCGGAGATATTGGAAAATACATCGTTCGATTACCGCGTCGATTTCGATTAGCGGAAATGCGGGATCGGCTCGCGACAGCGCGATGCATTCTCCCGACGGTGCATGCCAATAAATTTATCAAATTCGAATCGCGAATACCGTCAGCCGTGTTATGCACGTAACACGCAATAGAAATAACCAGTTTGAAAATTCCATCGGCAATGCCGGGGCAGAATGTTGCTAATGCACCAGCGTGATCGGGAATTATGAAACCGAAATACTCTGCCGGGGTGGTATCGACAAGGTATACGTGTGGCCTCGCGTACCTGACGAACTTTAATAACGTGCCAGCACGCGCTCCAGGCTACCATGTACGAAATCGCTTCGTTATCGAAGCGCAGAGATGAATTGCTGAGCAACGGGACGCGCGCTTGTTCCGAGATACGACGAGCGTAATTTCACGGAGGAAAGCGGTCGACCGTCTAGCGATTCTGCGATCGGGTCAGCGACCTCGTAATCTTCAAGCGGTTCAAGGTCGCGACGGAGGTTCGCGGCGAGTAATATCGCGCTCGATTGTCGTCCGGTTGTGAGTCCGCGCGCATCGATTCCGGACGGAAATGGACGGACGCCCGAAGGTGAGGGTCGTCGCTCGACATTGGAAATCGATTTTGGCGAGATATCGTGCCGAGATTACGTGACGAATGGCGGCCAGTTTAGACGTATTTATTTCGCGCGCATGTCGGAGAAAATTCGTCGGAGCTGCAATGGCAATTCGCATCGTGCAATTAAAGCGTCTCGTTAATGCCGCTGTTAAACTAGTCGCGAAATTCGCCAAAATGTATCAATAATAAAAGGCGACCCGGGCAAACCAGCACGTCGCATTTTAATGACTCAATTTTACCTCAACAATAATAACTGTCGAATTATACAGCAATTACGCTACAAACAACTAAGTTTTCGTAATGTAAATACGTAATGAATATCTATATGGCGTGAATGGATAACAGGCTGCCAGCCACCGCCCTATGTAAATAAATTAAATAATCCCTAATTGAATCACACGTCCACGGCAATGATAACGCAACGTGGTACAATTATCGCGTTGCCCCCCGCTATAATAGAACGTGTTTATTCCCGTAAACAACAGTGCGCGGTGATAATCGCACGCGAACCGCGAAAAACCGTCCGCGCCGGAAATATTTTTCCGTTCGAGATCCGATTGTTTCGGGCGCGCGCGCGCGCGCACGAGAGAGAGAGAGAGAGAGAGAGAGAGAGAGAGAGAGAAGAAAGCGTTTCAACAACAGAGTCGGTTAAAAGAGCGCGAGAGGAAACGTTGCGGGATGGCGAGGAGCACCGGCTGCTGTGTAATCCCCGAGGCCGGCGCTGGCTGGCGTGGGGCCAGCGTCAGCATCCGTTCCACAAATGTCGCTAAATATACACCTAACCGTTCCTAAACAGAGCGCAAAACTTGGCCGATAGTACGCGAATTGTACTAGTCAACGGATGACGATCGCGTTAGGGGCAAGGTAGCTGCATTCAGTGCATTCGCTGGACGATCAATCTTCCAACGCACAATTCAATTTTTATCCTTACCTAAAAGTTATACGAAATAGCAATTCGTAAAATAATTCATAAACGCAATTCAAAGTGAGCTAAGCACCTTTGTGGTAACCTAATCTGATACATGTAGAGCAGAATAAATAAAGCCCGTTTCGATAAATCAATAACTCGATAATACAAAACCAAAAAAAAATTAGAGATCATTGAGTTATTTCTACTCTGACCAGAATTGTCTGAAAATAAGCAAAATATAAATCAAAGGGTGTTACAGGTAATAACCAAGTGAATTGAATAAAAATATCAAAGAAATGTAGAAAATGCGATATAAAACGCGATGCCGTAATAAGTAAAGAGGAAAAGAGCGATCCGCAGAACGACTATAATAACACGCCTTCGTAAATAACAACCGCGGTAATGTGACGAAAGATAATCGGTCATCATTATCGTCGGCCGATAACTCCACAAACGGCGACATCGTCAGCATTTACAACACACACGCAAGCAAATTACACACACAAGCGCGTCGCCCGTGCGCGTCGACCTGCTATTGATTCAAGACTCGCACGATGTGATTCCGGTTTGAGACAAGTCTCCTCTGTCGTATAAGTCAATTGAACCCTCCATACATCGCGATGACTTCTGAGTGATATATCGAAGATAATCGAGCGAATTTAACACATGAGCGAGACTGGGATTGATAACTCAACTTGATCAAACTTAGTGAAGAGACAAGCTCGTTGAAGAAAGTTTCGTCTCTCATTCCCATTTAATGTAATCTCGACATTTAATGGCAATGAATGGAA